ACGGGACTTTATTCGAGTCTACAAATGTATATATATGTATATATAATTGTACAGTCCCTACTGCAGACAGATATATCCGAGTGTATATATATAGAAGAGTTGCGCGTGGCGATATGCAAATGCATGTATGTCGCTGTGCGTGCAGATAAGTTAAGTTAACTTCACTTCACTTTCTATGTGTGTATATACACTTTCCGGACTACTTCCGCTGGGGCTTGCAACCGCCAGTGCAGTGCCTTGCCTTGCCGTGACCCTGCCACCCACCCGACACCCCCCTGTACCTTCCTTCCTCCTATCGAGAACCCTGCCGCCAAGCGTCTCCCAAGAAAAACAGCTACACGATGAACAAAAGGGATTTAGAATATAAACTCAAAATAATTAATTTCAATCTTCAAATCTTTTAAATTAAACAATTTAAATTATTTAAAAGAAAGACTATGGTTTTCTTATATTATTTACAACTTCTCGGGTATTTTTTAAAACCTAAAAAAACACCTCTATATTTTAGAAAACTAAAACTACCTCAACTTTTTTTCTATGTGCACTGGCATCTTACTCTTCGTCTTGGCTCCATTTTCATCATTTATTTGATTACACGCCACTCATAAGCGCGAGTGCGTGAGTGTATGCCAACAATTCGGAGAGTGTGTGGGGTGTGCGAGTGTGCCACAGGGTGTGTGTGAGTGCGTTTATTGAACCGAGAGAGCTCCATGGCAGGCAGCGCCTAGCTGGCGACACTGAACACAACTCAACCCATCCGGATAACTCAACTCAACTCGATGTCGCGACGTCCCAACTCGGTTTTCCTCGGGATTCAGTTCTTTTCTTTTCGGTTCCGCTCATATCGCCGCTATGTATAGTGCTCTATATATGCATATATATACATTTATATATATATATGTATATACCTATCTTTATATGGCATATGTTGGGCCCAGCTCATCCAGCGGGCAGCTGTATAAAGGGGACATCCATCGCTTCCGATATCCTTACTAAATAAACAATATGCGGGCTCGGCGACGACCTCGACTCCTCTCTTTCCCTAAAAACAACGTTTCATAAATATAAGGCGCTTTCACCGCTTTGAATACTTTCAGGTCCTTAAATATATTGAACTTTTTCGTAAAGTTTTTGAATTTTTCACAAGGCTTTTCTAAAACTCAATAAATATTTAAACTTAATTAACATATAGCACATAGTGGCCTGCCTTTTAGTTATGAAACGCGGCTTTATTTGCTGCCTCCTTCGCTCAATCTTTCATATTTTTCTTCAACCGCTCCCGCAGACCCTTCAATTACAATTTTCGCACTTTAATAAATGCCAAGATTCGGTCCAAGCCGCATGAGCAGAAACCTCCGGAGTGGCGGAGTCCGGACCGACTGCCTGAATGGCTGAATGGCCGACTGGCGGAGTACATAAATAGTTCATCCTGGCTGCCTCGCATGTCTGGCGGTGCTGAGTCAGCAGCGGCTCGGGTTCAATGTCCTGGCGCGCCTTCAAGAATGCCACCGCGACTCCTTGGCATACAAGGAAAACAAAAGGGAACAATAATAAGTAAATTGCTCATATTTTGTTATTCTGATTAAAAAGGCGCCCGTGCTCATTAACTGCAGCCATCCACAGGCAATTGTCCTAGTCGCGAGGGCTTTTCCGGCTGGGCCCGAACACTCTCAGACTCAGTTGCAACCGCAGACCCACAAATGCATTAAGAGCCAGGGGACGCAGTGGATGGCCCCAAACAATAAGCGTGCATTGTGCACTCCGAACTGCAGTGGCCAAATCCGAGACTGGTGGCCCCCATCTCGGGGCATCTGAATGAGCACACATATACAGTGCGTTTCGGGAGCATAAAGCTAACTTACTAGGTAAATTATAAAAATACTTTAAATGAAATTAATTAAAAATCTGATGACTAGTAATATTATTATAAAGTGAAAGTTGGATGTGATTTGCCAAAAAGTGACTCATGGGTTTATTTCATTACTCTTCAAAATGGTGGTTAAAGTGGTAGATGTGGGAACTTCATGTTAAGTTTAACAACTACTTAACCGAGAGGAAAACACGTATTTCTTATTATACCCTTGCAGGGTATTATAATTTCAGTCAGAAGTTTGCAACGCAGTGAAGGAGACGTTTCCGACCCTATAAAGTATATATATTCTTGATCAGCATCAACAGCCGAGTCGATCTAGCCATGTCCGTCTGTCCGTCTGTCTGTCTGTCCGTCTGTCCGTCTGTCTGTCTGTCCGTCTGTCCGTCTGTCTGTCTGTCTGTTTCTACGCAAACTAGTCCCTCAGTTTTAAAGCTATCTGAATGAAACTTTGCATATAGTCTTCTATATGCTCTCACTGCTATATATGTCGGAACGGGCCGGATCGGACGACTATATCATATAGCTGCCATACAAATGTTTGATAAATTTTTAGAAAAAAAGTATAACTTGGCTGTTTTTCAATATTTTTGCATCATTTTTGAGATATAGCCATTTTATATTATTCCAGAATTTTGGTAAAAATTTTATGAAAATCGGACGACTATATGATATAGCTGCCATAGGAACGATCGAGAAATTAATAGAAATAAAATTATAGCTTCGTTGTTTTTCAACGCATTTTTATTTACTCTGAGATATACGTTTTTTTTATTATTCTAGAATTTTGGTATAAATTTCATAAAAATCGGACAACTATATCTTATAGCTGCCATAGAAGCGATCGGTAAATGTATAAAATATATAAAGCTGAGAATGTAAAACTGTAACTGTCAAACTGTAAACATAATAAGTATAGGTAAAATGTAATGAAACTCTGTTTTGTGAGTGTTTTCAGCATTTAAATCTATAAAATAAACATCAAAACCAATCTGCAAGGGTATACAAACTTCGGCGTGCCGAAGTTAGCTTCCTTTCTTGTTTTTTGTTAAATTTAAATTGAATCTTATTTTTTGTCAATTTTAAATAGAAGTTTAAGGTACACCCTGGGATTAATCATTGTAAGTTATTATATTTTCAAGATCAACTTGCCCTAATATTTAAAAACTTACAACAATATAATTAAATATTATTTTAATATAATTACTATTATTAAAATAAATTTTTTTTAAAGAAATATATAAATTTTTATTTACTCAAAAATAACTTTAATCCTAAATAAAGAAGTTTGAGTATTTAAATTGTTTTTTAAGTCTCTTTAAAAAATAAGATTTGATTAAGAACCAGTTTCCCATCAAGGTTGCTATCTATGACGCACACTGTGCCTGTATATGTAGACCATTTTGGGATTTTGGGGTCATAGGCATGAGCAGCCGCAGCATAAGCAGGCAGCGGCATCTGTACTCTGGACAGAACGGGGGTGACTGGGGGCCTTCGGAGCCGCCTTATCTCGATGGTGCAGCCCCGACCCCTTGTCGCTGCTGCTCGCTCCCGTATATGCGGATACGGATTGAGTATCTGAAGCTGCACACTGCCACTGCAACTGCAACTGCAATGGAAATTCTCCTTCTTTATGCTGATTTCATTTTCAGCTGCTTGCTACCGAACTCTCTGGCTATCTTTTTCTTTCTCTTTTTTTGATGCATATGGAACGTTTGGGGATTTTCTTTTGGCTTCTTTTGCTTTATTCATATTTGTTTATTACGTATGTATGTATGTAACAGCCGTGGTAATTAATGCTGCTATTTTTGTTGCCAATTCAGGTCTTTATGCAAACATATGTTGCACTCAAAGGGGCTCTGGGAGTTCAAAAGTTAATAATTTATGACTTTTTATTGGCTTTGGGCAATTGTGTCAAACAATGTTAAAGCGCTCATCATCCATGATGCATGGGATTCAGTTTATTTGAGCATTAATTATGAGAATAAATGTGTATTCAAATTGATTAAATGATTTTTTTTAACATAAATAATGGGGTTGTTTTACATCTTGTTTTAAAATATTTCGATTTTAGTTAATTTTGTAAGTATGCAATTAAATTAAAATAGCATTTAATTAAAATGAGGTGGTCTGGATTAATATAAAGGAATTTCACCAAATAAAGAACTAAAATGAGACTTTTATTAAATTTTTAAAAATAATTGTAAAAACACAGTTTTAATTTATATCAATCCAAACTATATTTAGAGAAGGTTCAATTTTAAACTCACTTTAAGTCCTTATATTTTAAATTAAAATCTAAACTAACTTAAAACTATCAGATCGAACTTCCTTTTCATTTTCTAAAAGAGAAACTTGCTTTTAAACTATTACATCTATTTATTACTTAATTACTTTACGCGAGTTTTAAGAATTCTGAAAACCTAAGATAAAGATTATTATGACAATGCTTAATACATTAATATGATATGTTGTAAGACGTACTCTTTGTGGGTCACGATTATTTTACGACAAAATTTGGAGAGTATTTTAAAATTTAAGATATGTACATATTACAGCTTAAAATTAGTTTCGCAATGTTGTGTTAAAACTGTCTATACGTAAGACTGATTAAAGTTACGATTAATCCTAAACAGACATTACCAACAAACAATATCAACGTATCTCAAAGATTCTTTCTAGAGATCTTATTTTCAAAGTGTATCTTACTCTTTTTAACTCACTAAAGTTAGGGTTCATCCTGAACAGACCTTACCAACGAAAAGTATCTCAAAGATTGTTTCTATAGATCCCATTTTCAAAGTGTATCTAACGCTTTTTAACTCACTAAAGTTAAGGTTCATCGTGAACAGACCTTACCAACGAAAAGTATCTCAAAGATTGTTTCTATAGATCCCATTTTCAAAGTGTATCTAACGCTTTTTAACTCACTAAAGTTAAGGTTCAACCTGAACAGACATTACCAACGAAAAGTATCTCAAAGATTCTTTCTAGAGATCCTATTTTCAAAGTGAATCTAACCCATTTTAACTCACTAAAGTTAAGGTTAATCCTGAACAGATATTAGCGGATAGTATCTCAAAGATTTTCTCTATGGATCCCAATTTCAAAGTGCATCTTTTTAACTCACCATTGTATCCTCGGAGACGGCGCTCTTGGCTTTGCCGGAGGACTTGTGCGTCCGCATGTCCAGCTGCTCGACTGTCGACGGCAGGTCAACGGGCCTCTTCTGGTGGTAGTAATGATGCTCCTCTGGAAGGGGCGGCAGATCCAGGATGCAGGTGACCAGCGACACTAGTGCGAGCAGGACGCCTAGCCGACACAGGCCGGCGACACATGTGGAACACATTTTCTTTCTTTTTTTCTTGGCTTTTTCTTCTTCTCTTGTTTTTTCTTTAGGTTGAAAAGAGAGAAGACACGAGAACTTTTCCTTCACTCGACGATCATTTGGGATCCGTGGATAACTATTTCGTTTTCTTAAACGTTTTTTTTTTTTTTATTCGCGTCTTAATTAATTCGTTGTCGTACAGGGGCAGGGGGGGAAATTGAACTTTTCACGCGGGGGTTGACACTCACGCACACACATACACATGCGCAGTGGCGGACACACAAATAGCCGGCAGCATAAACAGCTGCAGAAGCAACAAAAGAATGAAATTTTGAACCGTTGCTCTGTTTTGTGCTGCTAATTCTTGTGCTTGTTTCTGTTTTTGTTGTGGCCACTGCTTCTTTTGGTAGCTCTGCTCTCTTTCACTCTCACTCGCTCTCTCTCTCCTTTTTGGCCCTTTTCCCTCTTTTACATATGACGCATACGTAATGGGTAGGGGGGAAAACAGGAGCACGGGGGCGGAGTGCGTTTAAATTTCCCAAGACAGTGGTGGCACTATCAAAGACACATTAGCTTTGTGCAAAAAAACACAATTAATTAGCACGCAATGCATTTACAAAGGAGTGTACTGGCTTTTGTTGTTCGTTCGCGTTAACGTTTTTTTAATACAATCCCGATACCGAATCCCGCGGTTCCCGATTCCCGTTCCTTGCCGCGCTTTGTTCGCCTTACAAAAGAAGTGGGCGGTGCAGCAGCAACAACAACAATGACACCAGCTCACGCCTCTCCTTCTCTGTGTTTCGTGTAAGCATAAATCCCGCTGTATTTTTTGTAAATTTATTTCCTCTTGATATTTTGTTTTCTGCTTTCGAATTTAGAATTCAGTAAAAAATCGAGTAGCCGCCTCGCGCGACCGACTGTGACTGTTGACTTGCTGCGAGTTGAAGCGACATGCCATGCCAGGTCCCGCCGCACAAAGAGCAGCGGCTCTCTTCGTTCGCGCTCTCCGCGGGGACGGGGTGCGATAGAGAGAGAGCGCTGGTGATCGTTGCTGGGGAGCAGAATTTTCAGATGCAGCGGCAAGATCAGCGAAGGATAAAGACCCCCACCAGCTCCTTGCACTGCACTATGGGGCAAAGGAACACTTTAAGTGGATTAATTAATAACAGAAACTCACTTATATATTTAGGATATTTTGGTAAATTAGAATATTTAAAGAAATATATTAAGAAAACCGTTAAAAAATGTATATAAATTAAATAAAAATTAAAGAAAATACTAATGCAATTTAATCACATTCTAAAATAAGTGTTTTAGTCAGAAAAAGTTGTAGTTTGCCCCATCGTTCACTGCTTGTAACTCGTGCTCTTTCACCTTCTCTTACTATCTCTTGGTTTTTTTTAAGAGAGCTGAAGATCGCAGTGGGTGTTGCTGGGGAGCCAAGCCGTTGTAACTCCAATATCAGCTAAGGATAAGACCCCACCAACCGCTTGACTGGAAATCTTAAATAGTCTTTTTACTTCTCTTCTTGCTCTTTTTGCAAATTAAAGAGCGACGATGATCGTTGTGGGTGTCTGTCTTTTTTTATTTTTTAGCGATTATGCTTTTTATGCTACCTAAAAAGTGTCGGTCTTAACACGTTTGTGCCAAGATTGGCGCCACTCCAGCGATTGCACAATAGATACAAAGCAGATGGTTAATAATACTGATTGATGGACCAGTTTCTATGAAAAATACAAAATAAAGATTACACAGCGAGAAACATTTTAAAAACATTTTAAAATAAATCTTTATTTTGTATTTTTCTTAGAAACTGGTCCATCAATCAGTATTATAAAATGTAAAAAAAAAATTATAAAATAAAACTTAATATTTAAATTTTATTTTTATATATTTGAATGGCTAAATATATTATAAATAAAATTCCAAATGATTAAATTTTAATATTCCAAATAGTATTATTATTATTGTCAGTGCCTCATTAACCGAACCAATTGTATTTTTGAATGAACGTCTAATCAATTTACGCACGAACGAATAATGGCCGTGGGTTACTCACCGTAAAACTCGATTGTATCATACTCGATTTATCAACGAAATAATCTTATGGGAAAACCAAAAACCCATTGATAAACTTTTATTACAATCAAGCTTAACATGAATATATTACGTTACGTTGATGCGTCTTTTGTTTTGGATGATCATCATGCCCCTTTTAAATTCAATTTATTATCACTTAATCATAACCAATTTACAATAGATACAAGTTGATCTTGTAGTATATTGATGACTATTCCAAGAAGCGTGCGTGTGATAGGAATAAACCAATAACCTAAGATACAACCGTTCCGTTCCATACACTGCGTTTCAAAAAACAAAAACTAAAAAGAAACTTTCAAATACTATTTTAAGATTATTTTAGTTTTTGGTCTGAGTAACTATACCGATTATAAGACCCAATTGGAAACCTGTTTTTTATGTAGAAAGATATATTACAATAAAAAATTATCAACCATTTTTGTAAGCCCTACTTATTAGTACATTTTATATTCATTTTAGTAAATAAACCAATAACTTAATAGTATGATAATAATAGTAATTAAGCTAGTTTTAGAAAAGACCCTATAAATATTATTCTATCTTTGGTTTCAGTTTATAAAATCAAGCCTTATAATAGTGATAAGCACTGTACCCACACAAATATCCAAAACTGCTTGCCGGCAATTTCTGAACCCAGACCGAGAGAGGTCTTGGGTTCAAGTGCTAATTGAACACGAAATTGAATGCAAAACCGATTTTTGCTTTGCAGTTGACCTACAAAAAAAGTACGAGTAGAAATTAAATTAGTGAGAAGCCCACAAAAGGTGCGTATGAGAATCGGAAGTGTTGTGTCATAAGTTATGTGGAGAGGAAGTTAAGTTATTATTTATTATACTATATTTTATGTAGGCTCTGCACTTGACACCAATATAAATGCAGTGACACATGGTTAAGCCCAAGAAGGGTGCGTAAAAACACGGAAATATTATTACGTCAAGAAAATCATATCTTATCAAATCGAAGGTACTACTACTCATTGCTTAATACGAATGCTTACGCAACTTTTAAGTGAAAATGTCCATGTATCATGCCGTAATATATAGAAAAAACTACCCGCTGGCCATGGTCAGGATCATCCATCGAATGGAGTTATCGTGTGGTCGGTCCGCTTCCTGTGAATGGAAAAACACGCTGATAAGGAACGGATGGATGGGCGACAGCACAACATAAGTAAGGAAGGTTAGTAACTTTTGATGTCAGTGACTCAGTGGGGCACTATCTTGTTTATTGCATTTCTCCGCGAATGCATACACTCTCGCCTGATAACCATATCAGGGCCAGTTTTCCACACCCCACAGCGGCGCATCCAGTAGTATCATTATCTGTATCTGCATAGGTATCCGTATCTGTATCCGAAGAGGCCTCGATTTTGAATTGCCGGGTGCAAGTTCGTGAGAAATCAATTATGGAGAACGACAAGTGTCGTCTGGCGATGGCCGAAAGCATAATGTACGAGTAGGGGAACGGCTACATATAATGTTGTATTAAATGTGTGGGCGGGAGAGCACGGATGTCTGGCCGATATGGCGAAAGTTATTTATTTATATGCGTGCGTTCAAAACACATGGTTCCTGTGCCTGCACTCGAACAATTCTGTAGTGACATAAAGAAAAAAGACACAAATATCAAGGCTTACACAATAAAATAAAGTAAATCAAATTAAATAAGGATATATATTAAAAAATGATATAAAAAGTGTTTAAAAGTGGAACTTAAAAATCAAATGTGTAGGTAAAAAGCGTAAAAAAGATTAATTTCAAACCCAAAACATTTTATTGCATACTTTTAGACGTCGTTTTAAACGATTTTAAACCTGTAGTAAAGTAGGACTTTATCTGATAAATCTGCCTTAACCCATTATAATAATGTTTAAACTTGTTTCTACCAACGTATAGCCATGAAAAATGTAATTTAAATAAATTATATAAATTAATTAATTATAATTTTTGTTTTTGTTTACGGATCAGAGCATGTGGTTCCTGTGTACGTCTGCTTCGGTCAGATCTCTCTTCCCATTGTGCAATCTGTCTGTGTGACTCAATTCGAGGCGCTTGTTCGAGTGATCTAAAATGGAAGTGGGCACATGTAGCCAGCGGTGGTCGGACATGCGATTTACATACTACCATTTCCCAAGTGCGCAAAATCGAACACGTTCCTCCTCAGACAGGAAATCAAAGCAATTACTAATTGTGTTTTACACAGCAGCGCCAAAACTTTCTCGGATGACGCATTACGGCTTGTGGCCAAATGTCGTTTTGTAATGGACAGGAAATGCCAGCCCAATTGACCTTCCTCCCCCCCCACAACCCACAACAACAACAGGCAGATGTATCTCTGTATCCGAGTAATTAATTAAAATATGCATCCAATGCACTCCGATTTTCCCTGGCCACGAGCGTTGCTCTCGCTTCTCTCGCCTTGATGTGTCCATCTGGGAAAACGCCAGCGCCTCCTCCACCTCCACTGTCACCTTCTCTTGACGATTTCCATTTAACATGTTCATTAATCACATTCGGCGGAGTTTGTGGCTCATTATCGCACGGAAAGTGTCACACGGCCAACTGAGAATTTATTGAATTCACTCACTCAATGGCAAAGGGAGCACAATTAATATGGCAGCAAGTACAAATTAAAATTCCACATCCGATTTGCATGACAAATAGGCCGCAATTTTTTTGGATATTAGCCAACAGGTTGTGGGAATCAAACAAAAGACTTCAATTTTTGACTGTTCGAACTGGTAATGCCCTTCCCTGAGGCAAACTCATCGCGATATATAGCTGACGGGCCCATTAGCTCGATCTGAAGTCGAGATAAGCCTGAAAGTCGATTTGAAATTTACGAGTGTTTTGCCATATGAATTTCTGCTGGCTCTTTTTCACACCTGAAAGCGGCTCCATGGGTGAGTGCTTCCCCAAAAATAAAAAGAGATCAAGCGATCCAGCGACCCTCTTTTTCCCATGAGTCAACAGCCCCTCTGGGTTTTGTGGCGCTTGTCAGCTGCCTGACGCACACTATATTCTTTCACGTTAAAAAAATATAAAAAAAAGGGCAAAGATTTGCATCTGAATTTCTGATGGCTCATCCATACGATTTACGCAGAAGGCGACACTGACCACAAAGAATTTTAAATTATTATATATTTGCATTATCTATTTTCTTGTTAAATGAGATCGAGGGAAAATGTCCCTGCTGCTGGCTAATATGGGAAATTATTGAAAGAAAGGAATCTTTATTGATTTAACATATGAATAATAAATTATTTATAAACTTTCCTTTTAATAAATAGATTAATGGATTCCAATAAAGTTTTACCCGAAACTCTGCATTAGACGGCCAGAAAACCCATTAAACTGCTGCCGAAAATCGCAAAATGATTAGTTACCAAGACAAAGGAGGATCGTTAACTTTGATTAGCCTGCCCAAAACTGGCTAAGTACTTCGGCGAAAGAAGATGCAAAGCCTCTCCCCGTAGCTCTGTGGGGTTTCCCGTGTCTATCCATTTCGGCCATGTCTGAATTCCCCTCACACGCACGCACCCGGCCCCGCTCTCCTGTTTGTTTCATTATCTGAATAATTTAAGCAAGTTTCACGAAAAGCCACAGAAGGCCAAGAGGAAGACGCAGAGCTGCATAACTTTGGCCATACTTCAGTTGCATTGCGTGTAATATTTAATTATAATACGCCCACCCGCTTCGCCTCCGCCTTCGGAGCCTTCAAGCTGCATCGCAACTTTACGGCACTTGCCAATTGCACTTCGGTGGCAGCAGCAGCAGCAGCCTCCTCCGGGGAGTGCGAGTGGCATAAACGTCTTGAGAGGGCATAAAATATTTAATTGTGTCACGTAACTTTCTGCCAACTGACTTGACTGACTTGGCAGCAGCGTATGGATAGATACTTATTGTGCAGTATGCATTACAATTTCAAGTTTGGAACTGACGCTGGGGAAATGGGATTACTGAAACGCCACCAAGTGATAAACGAAATTAGCCAAGACATCATCATCTCGCGGTGCGATTACCATATGAAATATACAGCTTTATTCATTCGCTTTTCTCCGGTTTTCTTCTTTGTTTAATACAATGATGTAATTAGTTTATACTTCCATATAAAAAAAATATATGAGTGAAATGTGAACATTTTCCGCCGGGGCTGAAGAACAGTGTCCAATTTTCAATTACTCAATGCGATTCAAGTCCGCCTCCAGTGCTACGTAATTTCATTCTCATTCGTTTACAACTATGCTGAGCAGAGAGTTTCTTCAGATGTAGTTAGGTTTTGCTTTAAGTCGAGTCTTTGTATTTCGTATGTTGCGAATTCATTTGCCTTTCCTTAGAGGATACACACATAATATATATTTATATTTAATTTCTAGATCGGGGTTGCTGCTCCTCGTATTTGTTCCTGCCATCCCTTGGGTAGTGGTGTTGTGGTTAAAATAAAAATTCAAACAGCTAAGACATTTCATTTCTTGCTTAGAGGTGCGCGTGTAGGTGTCTCCGAACGACAAAACGGGATCATAAAATAATTTAATGGTTAAATTAAGAATATATATGGGCTTAGGGCAGCGTGTAACGAACGTAGGGCACCTCCACATCCTCGCCGTCGACGTCGTTGCAGCAGATCTCGAACACCAGCGAGCGCTCGTGCGATTCGATGCGGCGCTTGGACACGCGACGCACCACCTCCGACATCGGCAGCGGCAGACGCTCGGAGCACTTGGCCTTGGGCATGAAGAACGAGTACAGCATGGATACGCCCTGTGACAGCATCGTGATCTTCAGCTTCTCCTTCTCCTCAAAGTAGCTAAGGAATTCTTGCAGCGACAGCTCGCCGGTAACCTCAAAGCGGTCCCACAGCGTCCACTCCTTGCCGTAGTACTTGTTTTTGGCGGCGGGCAGCGGCTCCGAGAAGGCCATGAACGGTAGCGCCAGATTGACAAAACCATTCTTGAACTGGTCGAGATTGCGGTGGCCGGCAATCAGCTTGATCACCTCCAGCACAGCCAAGCCGGAAAGCACCGATGTGGTGGTGGCAATGGCGGGTATGATTTTACCCGCAATTAGCTTGGACTTGTGACGATCGGCCGGTGGAATCTTATAGTTCGTGGCGCGCAGATTCGAGCAGGCCACAATGAAGTCCATGTGCAAGTTGCTGTCGTCGTCCTTCTCAAACTCCAGAGGAGTGATCTTTGAGTTCTTGTCGACGTTCTTCAGCAGCTCCGTTATGATCTTGTCCATACGATCCTGGTCCACCTCGCCATCATCAAAGTTGTTGGCCGCGGCGGCGGCAGCTGCTTCATTAGTCTCGATCCTAACGCCCGAACGTGGCTTAAATTCTGGCACCTGAAAATCAAACAATTCAGAAATGGCTCCCTTTTGAATTTTATGCGAAAAGACTAACCTTAACCTGTTGCACCAACTCGGCAATCGTCTCGCGATTGCGCACCTGTTCAATGCCATAAACCTCCGCTCTCAGATTGGCAGCCGCATAGATGTAGTCCAGATGCATGGGATCGTTCACATCAAAGACGAGTGGATCAGGACAGCGCTTGGGTCCAGACCAAAACGGCTGACCACTGGAGGTGATCTGATCGGGTGGGAAGTTGAAGAGCAGCTGCTTGATCTGGTTGGCATATTGATCCTCCCAATAGAGACGGGCCCACTCCACGCAGTGAGCAAAGCTCTTTGGCTTATCGTCAACCAGGGCTTTCTGTAGATTTTAAAAAAATATATGAGGTTAAATATATTTTACGCAGATGAGCTCATTAAACCCAAACTCACCTTGATGGAATCGAGAATCTCGAGGGGCTGAATGCCTGGCAACTTGGCAATGCGCTCGGTGAACTGCGGGTCGCCTATATATTGAGCAGCGTTCTCGGCATTCTGCTTGAAGACACCCTCGAAGGCGTCGCGGGCCCACTGCAGAGTGTGTTCGATGGCATTGGGGAAGTTCTTCAGGGTGCAGATCGGAATGCTCTTCTCTGGAGGATCCTGAGACGAGCTGTACGACTCGGTGGCGAAGGGCACGATCACCTGGACGTTGCCCAAGGTGCCCAGTGTTCCGGTCTCGACCAGCGGGATGCGGTTGAATATGCACTTACGATCCATGTAGATACGGGCATCTACATTATCCAAAGCATTGGCCACGCCGTCCAGCTTGCCGAAGAAATCCTCGGAGAAGACCTTTTCGGTTTCAGCGCCGACGCGCAGCTCATAGGACGTGACGTTTACTTCTGGGTTCATGCGCTTAATGGCATCGGCTGCCGTCAGCGATTTAGGCTTCTGCACGTCGTGTGGGCGGAACAGGAACTGTCGGTTCAGATTAGACTTCTCGATGAGATCCATGTCCGTGACGAAAATCTGGCCCTTGCCCACGCCCAGGCCGAGCATTCCAAAGTTCTTCAGCAATTCGCAGCCAATGGCGCCGGCTCCAACAATGAACCACTTGGAATCGGCTAGCTTATCTTGGAACTTTTTGCCGAAAATGGCGATCTGGGCATCGTAGCGTGAGCCCACAGGCTGGGCGTCCGCCTCCGTCACACCTTCTGCAGGCAGGCACTCCAGGGCATCGTAGTACAGCCACTGGAAGATCGGAGTGAACTTTCCACTGCACGC